TGCTTCGTGGAGGAGAACTTTCATTTCAACCAGTTAGTTTATTTATTTATTTATTTATTTTAGTTTTGCTAGGGGGCGCATGCACTCACTGGAGAAGACAAAGGCAGAGAGACAAAGAGAGGGCAAGTGAGAAAGCACCTCCTAATGGGGGATGGCCATACTGCACCCCCTTCTCCGGTCTCCTCTTTAGATTTTAGGCAGGCACACACGTGATTTTCAAGCCACCAGGCCTGAAACTCAAACTACGCAGTCCGTCATGTGGGACCCAGCCACTTTAAACCCCACGCCACAAGCTGGGCCCCCAATGAGCCATTTTTCCCATTGATTATTTTTCTTTTATGGATTATACCTTTAGTATCATGTCTAAGAATGCTTCTCAACTTAAGTTCATGAAAATTTTTCTCCTCTGTTTAAGAGTGTTGTAATTTTATACTTTACATTTAATTATTTAATCCATTTGGGTTAATTTTGCATATGGCACAAGGTAGGAATTAAAGTTATTTATATATGTATTTTTGTATATGGATATTTAGATGTTCCAGCATCATTTGTTGAAAAGACTTTTGTCTTTCCAAAATATTTTTTTTTTACCTTTGTCATAAACTAGTTGACTGTATTTCTAAGGTCTCTATTTTTTTGCTTGCTTTGTATGTCTATAATTTTATCAGTAACACTTGGTTTTCATCACTTTTTAAATCTTTAACATTATTTTATAATTCTTCAATACTTCCTCTAGTTGTCTTATCTACTGTAGTTTCTTTGCCTTTCCATATTAGGGTTTTTTTTTTTTTCTTTTAGAGATGTATCAGGTGTTCTGTCAGCTTTTTTTTTTTTTTCTTAACGAGATCTCTCCTCGAGTCTCTGACCAGCTCTGACATGACTAGGCTTCCCCTGGTTAAAGCTGTTAATTTGGGATCACCCTTGGCTTCTCTTTATTTCCTTCTTACATCCAATATTCTCATCTTTCTTGGTTTATTTCCTCATGGTGAGTGTTGAGGGTATATAGAGGAATGATGATATGATAAGTGATTTTGGAAAGATGATAAAAAATCAGATCATGGGGCCCAGTAGGTGATATGGTGGTTAAGGTGCTGAACTCCCACATGGCCAACTTCAGTTCGAGGACTGGACCCTGCAACTTAAAAAATCATGCTGGGTGGATCGCGTAATGGTTACATTGCTGGATTCCCATGTAGTTGACTGTGGTTTGAGTTCTGGACTTGGCCACTTCAAACTCCAGTGCGTGTGAGGGACCAGCAGTTAGTATAATGGCTATGTCGCTGGACTCCCATGTAGTCAACTGCGGTTCGCATCCCGGACCCAGTGGCTTAAAACTCACGCTAGGTGCATGTGCGTGTGTGCCCAAGATTTTGAGAGGAGAACGAAGAAGGGATTGCGGTGTGGCCATCCCCTCTGGGGAGTGATTTCTCGCTTTCTGTCTCTATCTGTCTAGCGAGCACATGTACCCTATAGCAAAAACCTCTCCAAAAAAAAAAAAAAAAAACTCTAGGCCATGTGTGTGCGTGCATTTTTTCCAAAGAGAAGAAGGGAGGAGGAGGGATTGTGGGGTGCCCATCTGCCCAGGGGGTGATTTCCCAATTTCTGTCCCTCTGGCAAATGCATGTACTCTATAGATAAAAAAAAAAAAACTCTAGTGCATGTGTGTGCGTGCATGTCCAAGATCCAAAGAGGAGAATGGAGGAGGAGGGATTGTGGGGTGGCCATCTGCCCAGGGGGTGATTTCCCAATTTCTGTCCCTCTGGCAAATGCATGTACTCTATAGATAAAAAAAAAAAAACTTCTCTTAAAAAAATAAAAAATAAAAAATCATGCTGGGTATGTGTGGGTGTGTGCCCAAAATCCCCAAAGGAGAATGGAGGAGAAGGAATTGCAGTGTGCTATCCCCTTTGGGTAGTGATTGCTTACTTTCCCTCTCTCTGGGGAACACATACCCTATGGCAAAAACCTTACAAAAAAAGAAAGAAAGAAAAAAAAGCCAGATTATGAAGCACTTCATATGCCACGAGAAGTTTTGTCTTCATCTCAGTGGTTGTAATAGTTGTGCTAATTATTGAGAATATTTCATAGGTTAGTAACATTTTCATATTTGGTGCTATAGAATAGATAGAAAGATTAGATAAAACCTTGTAGGAATTCAGGAAAGATATGATGTCCCTAAATAAGACAGCGCTAGTCGGGGTTTCATTCTCACAGAACTTGGGGGATTAATTAGACATGGGAAGGAGGGAGGACAAGTCGAGGAAGGTGCTCAGTTTCTGAGTTTGGCTATAAGATTGATGCATTTTATCATAGGAGTGTCATGTTAGAGTGGGTACTTAGTTTAATCTGATGTGTTGTACAAAGGGTTGCAGTACTCTTTACCCACACTCACCAAATGTTAAGGTTCTACTCTATCATTCCTCTCACTGTGTGTCTTTATCTCTTAATGTATGTATATATTTTCTGACCCTTTGACTTTGTTCTTGACTGATGCTGATGTGCTTTTGCCTCTAATCACTTCCATGAATATTCCTCAAAAACAAGTGATTGATTTCAATTCAAGAAGTTAACATTGATCAGTTGTTAACAAATCTACAGGCCGCATTTAGATTTTGCCAGTGTTTCCAGTAATGTCCTTCCTGGGAAACAAAACTCCCAGGTCTCGGGTTGTACTCAGTTATGTCTCTGTAGTCTTCTACAATCTGGAACAGTTCTTCAGTCTATGGCTAGTAGAAATTGGAATGGCATGCTATTATGTATGTGTCTATGTCTTGGAGATGTGTTGGTGTGATTTGTGATTGTAGTACTTTGAGGATAGAATAAAAACTAGAATTAGGAATAGATTTTGGAGAAATGGACTTTTTTTTGAAATTAATTGTCAGAGGGTGTGTGCATTCACCAGAGAGAGACAGAGAACGGCGGAAGGAAAGGGAGAAAGCACCCCTAAATGAGGCTCATGCCTCAAGGACTGGGACTTAAACTGTCGTCAGCCATGTGGGTCTAGCCTTCGTGTAGGTGATGGAAATACCTACTCAAGAACCTCAACATGGAGTCTGTTTCAGGCCAAGTGATGGTTTGGCTTTGACAGTTTGGTTCAGGAACTAGGTGAGGCTGATGCTTATATATATATATCCTTAAATAGGAGCATATTCATGAGTGTAAGTTTTTCCTAGCTGAAATATATCACCCAGTTTAAAAATAGCATGGTGTGCCCCAAAGAACAGATGCAAAAATAAAACAAACAACCCAACCAACCAACCAACCAGCCAACCAACCAACCAATAAAAAACAAGTTTCTTAAGTCTGTCTTGTATACTAAATGTTGCTGCTAGGTGCTTGCCTCTGTTAAGGACTCCTGAAAACCCGTATTCCTGCTTTCTGTAGCATCTTGCTAACAAAATGATTCTGTTGGCTTGTCTGAAAAGTCATGACACATTTTTGCGTAGAAAAACACGTGTCATGACTTTTCTGACGACTCAGTATGTATTTGGGTACTTACATTCATTAAGTGTGCCTGTGTGCATGCATGTACACTTCTTATTTGAATATTGATAGGATACCTGAAATGATATAGAGCCTGTGTGTTAAAAGTGGAAATAGGGCCAGCAAGTGAGGTGGAGGTTAAGGTAACTGGATCCCATATGACCAACGGTGAGGTTTGAGTCCTGGATCTGAGGTCTTGAGAAACATGCTGGGCTTGTGTGCCCAAAAATCCTGAGAGAGGAGCATGCGTGTATGCCCAAAATCTGAAAAGGAGGGAGGGATGGATGCAGAGAGATTGTGGCATGACCATTCTCATGGGAGCCGAGAAGTGCTTTCTCAGTCCCCCCTTCTGTCTCTCTTTTGTGGGTGTATGTACCCTCTGGCAAAATTTCTAAAAAATAGTGAAAATAATGTTCTTACTTGTCAACACTCATTCCTTTGTGTTGTATTATGCGTTTGATTTAATTATGAATATTTTAGGTTGATAGATCTTTTGTTTGTGTCATGCTTTGGGTATTGCTTTCACTTAATATATCAGTTGCATGAATTCGAGATCTCATCTCTATCTATGGAAGTCTGCTCGGAGATTCATCAGCTGTTACTGCCAGTTGATTTATTTATCACTCCACTTCTGTTTGGGTGATTGAACCAAGAGGCAGGCTTTGTTACTTGACTGGTATAGATTTGAAATCAACTTTGTAAGTTTGAGCAAATTGCTTAACTTCTCAAGATGAATTTTTCTCCTTTTTAAAAATATTGTGCACTTCATTTTTTTTCTTTTTTTTTTTTTGAGAGGTTTTTTTTTTTTTTTTTTTTTTTTTGGGGGCGTCCAGAAAGACAGACAGAAAGCAAGAAACCACCCCCCGGGGGAATGGCTATGCTGCAGTTCCTTCTCCTCCATCCTCCTCTTGGGATCTTGGGCATGCATTCACATGTACCCAGCATGAATTTAAGCCACCAGGTCTGGGACTCGAACCGTGGTCGACTACATGGGAGTTCAGTGACATAGCCATTACACCAACTGCTGGTCCTATTGTGCACTTTTTGAAACCAATTTTTAGGCTTAAATGCTATAATACATATTAAAAACTATCCATGGCTCTGGCACAAACTAAGACTGCAAAAATAGGGACCTGCAGATGGAGTAATGCTTTTGTCACTGGACTACCATATACTCAACCATGGTTCGAGTCCCAGACCTGGTGGCTTAAAATTCATAAAGGGCGCATGTGCATGTGTGCCCAAATCCTGAGAGAATAGAGGAGAAGTGACTGCAGTGTGGCCATCCCCCCCTGGGGGGTGATTTCTTGCTTTCTGTCTCTCTGTCTCTCTCTGTCTTTCTATCTTTCTAGTGCACGCATCCTATAGCAAAAATCTCTCAAAAAAAGAAGCAAAAATAATAGATATTATTTTACTTCCTGCTGTTTGTTGATTAGAATTTATTTACTCAGAGAGTTGGGACAGCCCCATTTATTTTTCTCATTTTCTCAGAAAAACTTTAAAAATGTCTTCCACAGGATTTTGTCTCCACAATTATCCGTTTACTTGACAGCCCTTCAACTTCCACTAGAGCAAAAGCCTTCCTGGTTCTTCTGTATGTTTTGATTCATAACCGCGAGATGCTGCTGCTCTGCTGCCAAGCAAGGTAAGATTTTTTTTTCTGGTATTTTCTACCAGTAAATTCAGTTTGGTACCCCTTTTATTAGCGGCCTGTTTTTTTTCTTTTCTCTTTTATTTTTCTTCAGGTTTTGGCCCTAGGGTCTGCGCCTTTGCCAGAGACAGAGAAAGTGAGAAATCACCCTGCGGGGGGAAGAAGGGGGTGGGTTGGGGGTCAAATATGGTCACAGTATAATTTCCCATCCTCCATTCTCCTTTCAGGATATTGGGGACACATGCACATGTGCCTGGTCTGATTTTTAAGCTCCTGGATCTGGGGCTTGAACTGCGGTCGGTCATGTGGAAGTCCAGCACCTTAACCACCACACTACCTGCTGCCCCCCTCTTTAAAAAAAAAAAAAAATCAGTATACATTTAATAGTGTATTTCTTGGCCTTTATGTACCTGGTATTGAGATTTTTTTTCTACATATTTTCAAGAGTTTGATATTTCACTGATAGTCTCAGCTTGGACGCATTGAGGATCCAGAGATGGTTTTCGAAACTGAAGCGAGGTGGGAGATGCCTGGCGTTTCCTAGACTTGAGGGCAGCCCGAGGCAGGGTGTTAAATTTGGTTCTGGTGTGTACCCTTGGGAGTCTTTTGTGCATTGGTAGTCTGGAATATATTTTTTATTATTGGGAGATTCTGGAATGAGTAGCTGAAGGCCAGGGAAGAGCAGCTTGTTGAAGTAGGAGGAGGAAGAGTAGACCAGGGAGGAGGAGTTTAGAGGCTGGGCCTAGGAGGGAAGATTTCTCACTTTTTGGGTTTCAGTTGCTTCCCTTGAAAGGAGTTGTGCCCTGGATGGTCCTCTAGTTCCCTTCACACTCTGATGCTTTCTCATTATTTCCTTCTGAATGGTCTGTTCTGTGCTCCATTGATGCCCAGAGGGTCTCTGAAAAGCTGGGTTAATGTCTATTCCTAGACTTGTTCTAGAATACTCAGCAAAGCCTGGACTAAGGGCTGTTTAGATTAGGATCGGCGAACTTTTCCTTATAAGCAGCCAGAGAATAAATATTTTATGTGTGGGCTGGGCAGAGAGGCAAAATTGGGGATGACACACAGCAAAAGAGGAAATATATTTTACATATTTTTTATTGATACAAGTGAAAGTACCAGTAATGAGCCGGTTTGTGGCGTGATTAAGGTGGTTGGATCCTACAGGGCCAGCGGTGCCGTTCGAGTCTTGGACCCGGTAGCTTGAGAAACACACTAGGTACTTGTGTATCTGTGCCCCACATCTAACAGGATGGAGAAATGGAGAAGGGCTTGTGTCATGACCATTCTCCATGGGGAGTATTTTCTCACTACCCCCCATCTCTATCCAATGGGTGCCTATACCGTCTCGCAAGTTAGGGGAAAAAAACTGCCAATTGAGTACTGTTATTTTTGTAATACAGGCCTACTAATGAGAAGAAGGAAATTCTTTTGGCGGTAAGGGAGTTAACCTTCTTAATTGGCTCAGACTTAGTATCTGCATCATCAAATCAATTGCAAATGTTTATCTGCTACACTGATTTCTAATGTGATTTTATTTGTTTTATCTTTAAAAATGTCTTATGTAGGTAGTTTAAAATACAAGTATGACAGGGCCAGCAGGTGGCACGGTGGTTAAGTGCGCAGGACTCCCACAATGGCCGACTGTGGTTCAGGTCCTGGATCTGGTGACTTTCTCTTTCTCTCTCTCTCTCTCTCTCTCTCTCTCTCTCTCCCTCTCCTTCTCCCTCTCCCTCTCTTACTTCCTCTCTTACTCTCACTGTCACTCTCACTCTCACTCTGTCCCTGTCTGGTCAAATTAAAAAAATAAATAACTGGGACCAGCAGTTAGCGTAATGGCTATGTCACTGAACTCCCATGTAGTCAACCGCAGTTCAAGCCCCAGACCCGGTGGCTAAAACTCACACAGGGCACGTGTGCGTGTGTGCCTAAGATCCTGAGAGGAGAATGGAGGAGAAGGGATGGCCATTCCCCCTGGGGGTTGATTTCTCACTTTCTGTCCCTCTGTCTCTCTCTGTCTTTCTGGCGAGCACACATGCCCTATAGCAAAAACCTCTCAAAAAAAAAAAAAAAACTGTTTTGAAAAAGAAATTTGAATATGCCACTCTTTCAAGTGAGCATGATCCCAAAAAATAAGTAAAGTTAAATAAAATAATTCTTTAAAAAAATATGAGTTCATGAGCGTATGATTTTAATCATATATATTTGTCTATTGGAATGTATTTATGGGATTCTGTTAGATTTTTTCATGATATTTACCTTTTAGCATCTCATTGCATTGCAGATAATTCTTTCCAATTCAAAGGTATCTGGAAATTGCTAAGAAGCCTCATTTGTTTCTCATTTCTCTGGGATTACTGTCCTTCATTGTTTTGCACCCAGTACCTCGGAAACTGGTGTTCCATATACATTGTCTCTTTATTGGCTGTTTTAGATGGAAGACTGAATTTTAGATCATTATGGCCAGAGAATAATTTTTTCTTTTCCTTTTTTTTTTTTTGTTTTTTTTTTTTGTTTGTTTTAATTGTCAGAGAAAGGGAGAAAGCATCCCCCAGTGGGGCATGGTCATGCCACCATCTCTTCTCCTTCTCCACTTACCCGTCCTATTGGGACCTAGAGCACGCATGCTCATGTGCCTGGCATGTCTTTTAGGCTGAGACTAGATCTGCCATTGGCAATGTGTAAGGTGGCTCCCTAACCACTAGACTTCGGGGCCAGCCAAGAAGTCTATTATCAATTTCTTTTTAATGGCTTCACCATGGGCTTCGCTGCTTTTTTCTCTTTTAAAATTCCTAACCCTAATCCTAGGGCTTTGCTGCTTTGGATCTGTCCTTGCGTCTACTGTAATTTTTCGCAAGAACAACTACTACAGTTTTTCAACAGATGTTCTTACATTATTTCTTGCCCGTGCAGTCTGGTTCCCTGATAGCCCCAGAGTATTTATATGCCATGATGATCTTAGTTTCTTCCCTGCTTAGGCTCTTCCAGTAACTTCAGCCATGCTCACATAACACCCTCGTCTTCTTCCTGACCTCCTTTGCCCTACCTTATCTATTCACTGCCAACCTCTTGACCCTGATCGTCTTTGTGCTCACTATTCCAGACATAGTTTTTCTTATTGCCTTTTTTTTGTTTTTAAGGATTATTTTATTTAACTTTATTTATTTATTTATTTGACCAGAAAGGGACACATAGAGAAGAGAGAGAGAGAGAGAGTGAGAGAGAGAAAGTGAGAAAGCAAGCAGCCAGGTCTGGGACTTGAACCGCTGTCAACCATGAGGAAATCCAGTGTCCCTAACCACCACACCACCTGCCCGCCCCTCTTGTTACCTTTTGAGCACACAGAACCTACTGAACTCACGTCAAGGCTTTTCTCAGGTGCTATTCCCTGTGCCCCTGATCTCTACCCTTGACATTTGCATGACTCGTTTCTTAGGTCTTCAGATCTCTCTGTTCAAAGGCTACTTCCTCTGAGTGCCATTCTGATCACCCTGCCTAAAATACTCCCTGTAACCCCACCTCTAGAAACTCTAACTGCAGGGAGCTAAACCACTTAGACCTTCAGAACCTGGGCATGACACAAGTGGTCCTCCAATTCCTATGGATTGCTGTGACTTCCGCGTTTTTGAATGAGTATTTAAGAACTTTCTCAGTGGGCGGGAAGAAGGTGGCCTGAAGGCATGTCCCTAATCCTGATGTCCACACTGCTCACTCCCTGGAGCAACACAAGGAGCAGGGTAAGTGCAGAGAGGGGGCCGGGCAGTTGAGCTTAGTCTTGTGGGAGAGATACAGGCAGGCTCCATGTATCAGAGAGACCCCCCTCTTTGGGGGCCTCTAAATTTGGGGTGAATATTAGACCTCAAGGCTTTTGTTGCATCCAAAATGCAGGTGTTTTTTGCATCCTGTGGTTGGGGCCCACAGTCCTGTTCCCAGGAGATCTGAAGCTGGACTGAAACGGTTGGTGGGCCAATCTGCTCCAGTCTGTATGGGAAGACCATCCCATCTTACAGCTCATGAAGAGAAGAACTATTCTTCCCACCTGCTTTGCACACCTGTCTTGCTCAGCTGTTGAGTAGGTGAAGAAGTCATGAGTGGTAGAGATTTGCCCTGGTCCATTTAGGGGGACACAGAACAGAAAGACCAGGTGGATCTTATTGAGGCAGAACTAATGGAAGAGGCAGAAAAGACTTTTAACGAGCACATAATGAAGACTTATAGATGGGCAGTTTTTTGGAAGTGTACAGAACTCAGAGAGAATGACCTCTGCGAGGGATGGCATTGGTGCTTTGAAAGGCAGTATGAAAGAACATGTTGAACTGTACAAAGCTGATGAGAAGGACACGGGAAATTCATGTGAAAACAATACAAAGGATGGAGCGTAAGTCCAGGAGACCTCACTTGCAGAGTGCCACGGATTTCCAAAAGGAAGAAAGGCTATCATAGCGTCCACCTTCTGGTTGCACATGCTCTCTAGGATCCTGTTCTCGAATAAGGACAACCGCAGCAAGGGCAAGGGTAAAGGCAAAAGGCAAGATGACTACAGCAAATGAACGCTGCTGCCTTTTCTTTGTGTTTTGGAACCTGGAAAGCTGACAGATCAATGTTCACTAATTTATCAGAATGGACATGGCTGAGATCGCTTGTCTGTAAGAGGAAAGGCCATTTTGAGACTTGGTTACTGGAGTGGTTGGGAATCGTTAATATCAGGTGCCTCTGAAGGCAGTGGTGAGAGGGAGACACCAGCTTCAAGATAAGAAGATGATGGGAAGTAGGCATGTAGATTTGATCATCCCCTACCCCCAAACATCCAGGGAACTCCCTCTCTTTCACTGAAACAGGAGACTTGAAATGTATTTTATATAGTGTGAGCTAGAAAGGGTGCAGATGTGTGAGTTCCAGACACTGTCAAGAGGGGCATGGGTGCCTTGTGGAAAATCAGACGATCAAATGAAAGTCAGCTCATTCTGAAGGGTGAGGGCCTTGACCCCCTTCTT